AAATGTGTGTAGTGGACTGTAATACTTCCTCATATTATATCGTTATGTGTTATAAATGTGTGTAGTGGACTGTAATACTTCCTCATATTATATCGTTATGTGTTATAAATGTGTGTAGTGGACTGTAATACTTCCTCATATTATATCGTTATGTGTTATAAATGTATGTAGTGGACTGTGATACTTTCTGATACCCATTTCAGTGTTTACTAAGTGTTGTTTGAAATAAGCTGTGTAAAATAATATCGTGGTTATGTTAATTTGTTTATTTAGTTCGATTATGTGTCCCAGAAAACTCAGTGGAGGCTTGTCTCTCTATGTCAGTAGTGATGCCAAATTACGTCACATGCGTCAAAGGGCAAGATAAGTAAGCTATTTCTGTCAGTCTGTTTACGTATCTATCTTTCTTGCACGCATGCTATCTTTACAATATATCTGTCTGTATATCCTTTTTTTTGAGTATGTTATTTTTGTTCATTTATGTGCCACTGTCTGTGTGATATTTCTTTCTGTCTATCTATCACGTTTTGTCTTTATGCTATTTATGTCAATCCGTCTGTCTGTCTTTTGTCTAGTCCGTTTTTCTCCATTTGTACAGGTAAAGTTAATAACATATATAGATTTACAAAGTGTCTTATAACTTTCACTTTTCTGTCTTCTGTCAGCTAAGTGAAACTACAAAATTAGCATATTTATAAACTATATACTTATGGTGAGTATAAACTACTTAATTCACTAGGAAATACCTCAGTATGCCTTAAGATAGTGTGCACAGTTGTCTCACCAGTGATTTCAGTTCATCTCACTACTGAAACGTTATTCTATGGCTTGTAATGTGTATAACTGAAGATTACTTGCAGTGTTAGTAAAACCATCTTTATGGAAGAAATAATTTATTTTAACACCGTTTCAATATAAAACTGGTTTCGACAAGGCACTTTATGTTACATTTTGTCCTACCACTTAAAATATCTTATTTTAGGCCTTGACTTCAGAAGTATGAGCATTGATTTAGTACTACTACTGAGAAAGACAATGAGTACTTTAAGTCTAAAAAATGATTTAAGAAAAACTGGAAAACTGCATGCATACGAAAATAAAATCAAGAAAGGCAGTACTGCAACATCGGTTCTTCATTTCTTATATCCCAGTTTTAGACAGAATAGGTAGTGTGATATCCTTCTGAACGTATTTCACATCCGTTTTATTTCTTCATCTTTTCAGACTGTCATGTATGGATTTAATATCGAATGGACGAGCAGATTTGGTCAACGTAGGACCAGAAGATCTTTACGTTGGAATGACCCATTATGACCTTGGTCCGCTTGCCATGGAGGTGATGGCTAACGGAGGTGAGATATAACGTTATCTGTGTTTTACAAAGAGTACGAATTCACTAGCAAAAATGACTTAGTTTCTTAAACTATATATAAATGTCGACATAACTTTTACTTTTAGAGCTTCTTTGACTTCAAATTATAAGTATGTCATTTTGTGAATAATTAAATGTTTCAGTTCCAGTTGTCCTGAAATATAACATGTTTTTACCAATACAACGCTGTTAATTGAACATAACTACAAGGGACCATTTGATCCTTTAGTCTGTCCAGTAAACTTAAACATACCCATTCTTTTATTGTTAAGGTAAAACTATCATCCAAATTATTTCTTTACGAGAAAATGTGTGTGTGTGTGGGGTGGGGGGGGGGGGGTGAGATCCATGATTGAGCATTTGTTATTTCTTTTGACTCATAACATGCCTACTTTTTCAGTCCTGGGGGTCATTATAGTGTGACGATCAATCCCACTATTCGTTGGTAATGGTTAGTCCAATAGAAAATAAGTAAAGTTATAATGGTAAAGGACCAGCAAACAAATCGTATGGATTGTCCCTGAAATACATTTTAAAAATAGATAATTCGAGGTCAAAGTTGAAATTCAAGTTGTTAATTTTGTTTATTTTAGAAAGAAGTGTTTATTTTCAGTTTCTAAAACACAATATCTCAGAAATAGAAAACTAGATACAATGTGTTTTCACTTGGGAGGTGTGAAAGGCCTTTATCAGATTGCACAAGTTGACTTGGAAGAAACATTCTCTTAAACGATAGAAACCAAATTCTGTTTTGTTTTGGTCTTCAACGTGTTTCAGAACCGTACAGAGCAAGAGTTGTGGCTGTGGTTAGGAAGAGCCTTAAGCTAGACCATCTCTCGGATCTTCGGGGTAAGAAGTCCTGTCATGGCCACATGAACGACGTGGTGGGGTGGCATGTTCCTGTAACCACCCTTTTCAGTAGTGGAGTTATGAATGCAGATTCAAGAGGTATTTTGTATTCGGTTACGGACTTTTTTCAAGGAAGTTGTGTACCAGGAATATGGTCCTCAGATCCTCAACTTGACACGAGGCTAAGTAAGTTAATTAAGTCTATTTCAGACGGCCTGGCAATCTGAGGGTTGCGGGTTCGAATCCCCGTCCCACAAAATATGCTCGCCCTCTCAGCCATGGGGGTTTTATTATGTGACAGTCAATCCCACTATTCGTTGATAAAAGAGTAGCCCCAGAGTTGGCGGTGGGTGATGATGACT